TCTTCGTTTAATCTTTTCTTCCCTCCTGCCTCTTGGTGGTATCTTTCATTAGACTGTCTGTCTACCTGTCTGCAGCTCCACACATCTGTTTATGCAGGTAAAAGGAAAGAATTCTAGAAAATCTTGTAGGTTAAAATAGAAAGTCTTATGACTCTGGTGCCAGAAAGCATTCATAAAATCAACTTTGTGGGAAATAATGAAACAAGGAATGAGATAATAAAGACCTTTTATGGCAATGAGACAGTTGGACAGCTGTTATCCATACCTTCTAGAGATAGTTATGGTGTTCCTCAGGGTTCTGGGATGGGATTGATCCTGTTTTCACTCTGCGTCAGAGATGGCCAACTGAAATGATGAAAGGGGCCAGAATTTTTTGTTGACACTACCAGAGGACCACACACACACTTGCACAAATGTATCAAAACTGCCATTTAAAAACTATATGTTTATTAAACCAGCATAACGTATTTCATGCTCAAATTAATGTACAAGAGTTGTCCTCTTTTTTATTAATTGTGACTTTGGTAAAGTTCTCATATTTAGCTTTGTGCAACATGTTGTAATGGCGACTTGTTTATGGCAGACAGTGACTCTAAGCAGGTTTAACTTGAAATTCTGTTAATAGATAGTCTAACTCCCATTTCACCTGAAACGTGCAGTTTTATCAGTCCAGTTTTCTTTCCTCCGTTCTTAGCCGTGGCTAAAYGTTTCTTCCTCACTGGTAGAGAAGACTTTTGCGTGAGTTGGCGTCTGCGTTGGATGCGCCACCAAACATTTGTCATTACAACCAATTCAGTGCCACTGAGGCACTTTTATTAATTTTTTGTAATTTTCAAAAATGAATCTAAGAGCTGCTTTGAGTGAGGGCCGTGTACGCGGACCACCACTGGCCCATCCTGCTGCCAACATCATGAAGCATGATGAACATTTTCATCATTATGCAGATGAAACTTGAAAAAACAAACTCATTAATGAAGTTGCCTCCACAATTACTGTGTGTGTGTGTTTGTCTAGTTTTAGTACCTTTTAGGACCTTTACTGGTAGACATACCTATCTTGTCAGGCTCAGTAGCCCTTTTGGGGATCAAAGTCCTGTAAAGGTTTTTTTAGGGATTAGGTTTAGGGCTAAAGTGTGTATCAAGTTAAAAGTTGCTGGTAAATGTGAGGGGTTAGGCTACAGAATACTCCAAGCACTAACAGATCATGTGAGATCTTTGTTCAAACGGGCGACATGCTGTCTTTCAAGGAATCGTATAGTTTCATCAGAAATGTAAAGGGCTTGTTGTCTAGTAATTTTCTGTGAGGTAATTATTTCGGGTACCAAAAATCTTAGGAATTCTTCGACTAACTACGCAGTTATTTTGGACGGTATCGCAGCTGCTCTCAGACAGAACAACTGTAAGAAAAAAATTCAATCATTACAATCATGCCTCCATAAT